ATTTCATGATCATATCTTCAATTCTCTAATTTTGGTGAATATTTTTGTCATTTTGGTAAAAAGTGATATTTTCGGCTTCTTGTTAAAAACCAATAGTTCAATTGCTTTGATAATACATATATAGGTACTACATGTGGACCTCTCTCAGATTTGTTCATTTGTAATGATATCTTTAATTTTCTAATTTTGGTGAATATTTTTGTCATTTTTAGTAAAAAGTGATATTTTCTACTTCTTGTTAAAAACCGCAAGTCCAATTGCTTTGATATCACAGATATAGGTACTACATGTGGACCTCTCTCAGATTTGTTCATTTTGTAATGATATCTTTAATTCCCTAATTTTGGTGAATATTTTTGTTATTTTTGGTAAAAAGTGATATTTTCTTCTTTTTAAAAACCACAATTATTTATGGTGAAAAAATGATATTTTTGAATTCTTGTTGGAAACAGCAAGTCCCATTGCATTGATACTATGCATATTGTTCATTTTCTAATGATATCTTCTGTTCTTTAATTGAAATGTGCATTGCTAATAGCGAAGCTATCTCAGCCGAGAGGCTGCTAGTTACTTTTTGACTCCCGTGTGCGAAGCACAAAAAGGGAGTCTTTGCAGTTAGTTTGTTTGTCTGTATGTGTGTATGTGTGTATGTGTGTGTGTATGTGTGTCCGTCTGTTCCACTGATATCTCAAGAACCATACATCAGTTTTTGATGAAACTTGGTGCATAGATGCTCTGGACCAATGCGCAGATTTGATTAGGTTTTGGTAAAAATCCATGCATATTAATTACCTAATTTGCATGATAATTAGCTGATTTTTGGCTGTTTCATGACTGTTCCACTGATATCTAAAGAACCATTCATTGGATTTTGATGAAACTTGGCACACAGATGCTCCAAACTAATGCGCAGATTTGATTAGTTTTGGGTACAAATCTGTGCAATATTAATTACCTAATTTGCATAATGATTAATCAATTTTCGGCTTTTCCACTGATATCTCAAGTACTAATCATC